CTACATTCTGATTTCCTTTGGCACAGCAAATCGAGGGAATATTTTAGTTCATATCTCACGGTGGTACTTCCCTGCTCAAAGTTTTCTGTGACTTCCCCCACGCTCTTATAGCCTGTGCCATGCTAGTCTGAAGTGGTTCATCCCGCCTTTCCACTGACTCCTAACTCAGTCTTTGGCATGGCTGGCCACCCAGTCTAGGGAGGCACCACTATAGACAGGGTCACCTCACTGTTCCTTTCACAAACCTTATCCCTTTCCAGTTGAATCCTTCCAGTTGACTTGCTTACTACCTGTCTACCTAGCCGGATGGTGACTTCTTCAGGGATTAGCCTGTGATGTCCACCACTACCTATCCAGTGCCTAGCAGGGAGTCTGTCAGATAACATGCACGCAGTCATTTACTGGATGTGACGGGAGGATTCTGGGACAAAACACCGCAGCACGTGTGGTGGCATGTTAAAGCATCCCTTCCGAGTTCTTACTGAGGGTAGCCTTGTGTTCTCTTTCAGTAACTGCCCTTCCTTTCTGGCTGCTGCCTTAGCCAGGGCCACCTCAGATGAAGTCCTCCAGAGTGACCTTTCTGCTCACTATATCCCGAAGGAGACGGAGGGCACAGAAGGGACTGTGGGTAAGCACCTTTCTCCATTACTTGTTTAACTCACTACACTGTCTCGTGGGTGGTGCCCTACAGGAAATATCTGGGGCATATTAAATTCAATCGCATACACCCACTGGTGACTACACAGTGTTAGCCAGGAGTTGTTTCTTAAAAATCAATAAAAAGAGGCAAGAAGGAAAAAAATCCAAGTACATATCTAAGTAAAGTAGGACATGGAAAGTACTGGAAACAAGAAATTGACATTGATGTCTAGATAGACGGTAGACTCGAGAAATAAGAACACACACCAAAAAGTTGGCTCAGTAGCATGGACCTGTAGCTCCAGATACTTAGGAGGCCCGGGTGGGAAGGTCACTTGAGTTTAGGTGTTCTAGACTGGCTTAGGCAAGGACCTTGTCTTAATTAAAAAAAAAAAAAGTTTGATGCACAATAAAGTAAGAGGATGAGAAAACCAGAGTTTGAGGAAAAGCTGTTTAAAATGTCTGTTTAACCAGGGCTGCATCGCCCCAATGCACCTATCTATTCTAAGAGGTTTAGCTTATCTTGAATACAGGTAAAAGCATACGAAAGTTTTAAATAGTTATAACAAAACTCATCAATCTTGTGAAGCTTTGTATCTACTAAAACATGGAGCTCTGACAGATACATAATGTTATTTGTCTGCATTGATTATTGTGTATCTTTGCTGATAGCTCAACATTCACACCCACACTCACCCCTGGCACCAGCAGAATTGAGCCCGAGGCCTTGGACATGATGCTCTACTGAGTCACACACACAAACGCATACACGCATGCAGGCACGCATGCAGGCAGTTTTGAAAGGGTCTTGCTGAACTGCCCAGGCTCTTCTCCAACCTCAGCACCCCAAGCAGCTGGGTTACAGGCATGTGCTGCCACATCGGCCAGCTCCAGTTAATGGGCTGGGCTTACACACACTTGAAAGCAGTTAAAAAACTATTTTTATAAAATCAGAGCATTACCACCCCACCATGCACTTCTGGTTTTGGTGCAGGGGATGTAACCTGAGGTATCTTAAATGGTTAAGTATGTTTTCTACCAACAATGTAACAGCCCTAGCTCACTACTCCAATTTTTTTTTTTTTTTTTTTTTTTTTGGTTTTCCGAGACAGGGTTTTTCTGTGTAGCTTTGCACCTGTCCTGGATCTCGCTCTGTAGACCAGGCTGGCCTCGAACTCACAAAGATCCACCTGCCTCTGCCTCCTAAGTGCTGGGATTAAAGGCGTGCGCCACCACCGCCCAGTAACTACTCCAAAATATTAAGGGTAATATTTTATTGGTATTTATTAGCTTTGAGATAAGGTCTCCACTGTGTACCTTAGGCTGGCCTTCAACTCACGACCCTGCTTCAGTCTCCTGCTGTAGTCTCCTGAGTGCTGGGATCCCTCACAGCGTGTGTTACCTGCCCAGCCCATCTGTTCTACTCAAAGCATTTGCCCATCAACATGGCACATCGGGAACAAAGCGTTTGCTATAAATAGAAAGGCAGTCCAGAGACTGTGCGGCATCCCCTTCTTCCTGTCTCTCTCTCGACTGTGACAGAAAACTGTCAAGGAGGGAACTGCGCCTTGCTTTTTTTTTTCCCCTGAGAATTACTGATTCACCTGGAACCAAGCTGTCCCGGAGCCACACTGAATAGAATTCCTTCTACAAAGCACAGTCTTTCCTCTGAAGCTGATGCACGGAGTGAAACCCTTGTAATGAAGGGATGAGAGCTGCAGCCCTGCCTCCGTGCAGCGGGGGGAGGGGTGACTCAGCCCCAGCTCGGCACAGTGACATTAGCGACTGACGAGTCATTTACAGCTGTGAGGAGGCGGACTGCTACTTGGATGGTTTTCACTTTTTCACGCCCCTTATTTTGTCTTATTTCTCCACCTCAAGTGGCTATTATTTATATCCTAGTGTTCTGTGGCACTCCCGCTGGAGACTCAGGACCACAGTACTGCTCCCCAGGCTGGCTCTGGAGAACTGTCTGCGCCCCACAGGTGACAAAAGTCCCACGGAAGGATTTTTTTTTAAATGATGTCACTGGTCACACTGTTTGAATTGTTTTCTGGGTGATCACTTAGAAATGTCTCCATGTGGCTGGGAAGTGGTGGTGCACGCCTTTAATCCCAGCACTTGAGAGGCAGAGCCAGGTAGACCTCTGTAAGTTCGAGGCCAGCCTGGGCTACAGAGAAATGTCTCCATGCTGTTGAGATTCTCAACTATCAGCAAATCCCTTATCCGGTGAACACAAATCACTGTGTGAACTGCATAAGGGTCTAGAGCAGTGGTTCTCAACCTTCCTAATGCTGTGACCCTTTAGTACAGTTCCTCATTTTGGGGTGACCCCCAACCATAAAATGATTTCATTGCTACTTCATGACTGTTAACTCTGCTACCGTTATGAACCATAGGAATCTGTTTTCCAGGTCTCAGGTGACCCCGTGAAAGGGTCGTTCAACCCTTGAGAACTCTGCTGGGATACTGCTGGCCCACACATTACAGTGGGGGAAGCATACTGGGTAGAGCCTATAGCATGCGCAGTGAGGTCCCCACTGAAGGGCCTTTTAAAACCTCTTCTGGGTTGTTTCAAAAAATCCTTTTTTTTTTTTTTTAAAAGAAAATTTTTATTCATTTTAATACCAATCACAGATCCCCCTCTTCCCTCCTCCTGGTCCTCCACCCCCCCCCAACCCACCCCCCATTCCCTCCTACAAGAAGGTGAGGCCTCCCATGGGGAGTCAGCAGAGCCTGGTACATTCAGTAAAGGCAGGTTCAAGCCCCTCCCCCTGCCTCAAGGCTGTGAGAGGTGTCCCACCATAGGTAGTAGGCTCCAAAAAGCCAGCTCATGCACCACAGATGGATGCTGATCCTACTGCCAGGGGCCCCTTGAGCAGATCAAGCTACATCACTGTCTGCTTATGCAGAGGGCCTAGTCCAGTCCCGTGGAGGCTCCACAGCTGTTGATCTTAAGTTCATGAGTTTGAGGGGAGGGATTTGATGCAGATATCCCATTAAGGGCTAAGTATTTCAAGTTCTCTTTCTCTGCATGATGTCTAGTTGTGGGTCTCTTTTTTGTTCCTATCTACGGCAGGAGGATACTTCTCTGATGATGATGAACAAGGCACTAATCATGCAAAGGGCCTAAGTCCAGTCCCATGGAGGCTCCACAGCCATTAATCCAACTTTCATGAGTTCCCTCCAGTTTGGTCTGGTTGTCCCTGCATGTTTCCCCAGCATGATCCTGATGTACTTGCTCTTCTCTCTCTTTGGACTCCTGGAGCTCTGTCTAGTGACTGGCTGTGGATCTCTGCATCTGCTTCCATCAGCCATTGGAGAAAAGTTCTGTGATGACAGTTAGGGTATTCACGGTCTGATCTCTGTGGCAAGCCAGCTCAGTTCAGGCACTGTCTCCACTATTGCTAGTGGCCCAGGCTGGGGTCATCCTCGGGGATTCCTGGCAACTTCCCTAGTGCGGGGTTTTCTCTGTACCCATGAGGTCTCTCTCTATCATGGTATCTCTTCCATTGCAATTTTTTTTTTAGTTTCATGTATATTAGTATTTTGTCTGCATGTACTTCTCTACACCATGTGCTTACAGTACCCATGGAGGCCAGAAGAAGGTGTTAGATCCCCTAGAAATGGAGTAGAGACGGTTGTGAGCTGCCTATGGGTGCTGGGAATTTAACCTGGGTCCCCTAGAAGAGCAGCCAGTGCTCCTAACCACTGAGCCATTCTTCCAGCCCCTTAAAAATGTTTTTTTGTTTTTTGTTTTTTGGTTTTTTTTTTGGCTTTTTGAGACAGGATTTCATTTAGCTCAGGCTGGCCCCAAACTTACTCTGTGGTAGAGGCTGGCCTTGGTCCTGATCCTCCTTATTCTACCTCTTTAGTGGTAGATTACAGTCTTGGGCCTCCATGCCTGGCTAAATTACATCTTTCAAAATTAATGGTAAAGGGCTGGGAAGGTGGTCCATTCAGGAACATGCAAGCCTGAGGACCTGAGTTCAGAACCCCAACTCTGTAAAAGCTCGGCATGGCCTGCCTCTGTAAGTCTACGTTGGGCAAATGGAGACAGGGAACTCCTGGAGCTCACTGGCTCTCTGTAAGCTCCAGATCCAGAGAGACCTGTCTCAAACAGCAACGTGGCACACAACAGAAGATTCTTGACACTGACCTCTGACCCCCACACTACACACGGACATGTATGTATACATGCAACACACCACACACAAAAATAAAATAAAAATTAATAAAATTAACAGTAACAGAAAGGAAGACTAGCCTTCTGATACTACAGTATACTTTATGGTCAAAGTAATTTCTCACTGTGGAAGAACAGGAGGACACCAGTGAAGGACAGACAGACAAGGACTATGTAGATGTGCTAAGCTTTAGCGATTCATCTAACTGAGCCTCTGCTGTATGCTAGGTGTGGTACCATGCTTTTTCAAGACAATTACAATAGTCTATCTGCTTTAATAAAATTTACCTTTGTGAAATATTCTGGAGACATGGAATATCCAATAAATGCCATCAGTACTGTCTGTTGATACAAAACGTGGTTCAAGAGTTATGCTAGGGGCTGGAGAGGTGGTTTAGTGGTTAAGTGTGTACTGCTTTTGCAGACAACTTGAATTCAACCCACAGCACCCATATCAGGGGGCTCACAGATATCTCGAACTCCAGCTCTGGGGATCTAAGAACTCTGGTCTCAGTGCTCACATGCATATAACCCCAACCCAGATACATAATTAAAAATAAATCTTAAAAAATAAGTTACGGGCTGGAGAGATGGCTCAGAGGATAAGAGCACTGACTGCTCTTCCAGAGGTCCTGAGTTCAATTCCCAGCAACTACATGGTGGCTCACAACCATCTGTAATGAGATCTGGTGCCCTCTTCTGGCCTGCAGGCATACATGCTGTATACATAATAAATAAATCTTTTTAAAAAGGAGAGAGAGAGAAAAGATAAGTTACAATAGCTGTGAACAAAGTGAAATACGACCACAGGGAGTGAGTGCCAGGGAGACAGGGGGAGACTGTTGGCTATTCGGCCTTAGAGAAGCTGGGTAGGGTGCCACAGCCCTGGAATCCCAGCACTTAGGAAGCAGAGGTAAGAGGATCAGCTCAAATCTGAGCCCAGCCTGGTCTACATAGGGAGTTCCAGGCCAGCTTGGGCTATAGAAGCTCTGGACAAGAGGGGCTGCGTGGGCCATACTCAGTCATCCAACCTTTGAAAGACAAACAATTTTACACTTTAAGAACATTTATTATTTTATGTGTATGAGTGTTTTGCCTGCACATGAACGCCATTCGTGCCTGGTACCCTTACAGACCAGAAGAGGGAATTTGAACCTTTGGAACTGGAGTTTCAGATGGTTGTGAGCCGACATGTGGGTGCTGGGACCCAAACCTGGATCCTCTCCAAGAGCAGTATTTCTTAACTGCTGACCTATCTTTTATCTTTTATTTTACATATGAATGTCATGCTTGTTTGTGTCTGCTGCCCAGAGGCTGGAGGGCACTGAAGCCTTGTAACTGAATTCGGCTCCTCTGGAAGAGCAGCCAGTGCTCTCAGCCATGGAGCCATCTCTCCAGCCCGACATTTACGTTTCATTAGCTCCCATACTGAACAGTGTGGGTGTACGTGACAGTAACATATTAACCAAAGGATAATCAACACTTATATCATCAGCGGGGATTCTGAGAACATGTCAGTCATTTCCCCCAGTCCCGATCCCCTTGAAGTTTCCAGGTGGATCTCTGTAAGTTCAAAAGTTCAGGGCCAGCCTGGTCTACAGAGTGAGTTCCAGGACAGCCAGAGCTACACAGAGAAACCCTGTCTCAAAAAAACCCAAACAAACAAAAAAAGCAAACATTTGGAGTTGCTTAAAGCAAAAGAAATATTTGGCTGTTTGTTGGCTTGTTCATTTCTTGTATATAACTCCTCAGGGAATATTTGCTCTTTGAACTTCATTTCTCTTTCAAATATATCCTTGTTTTTCAATAATGTACAATTGGGAAGGGGATGCTGGGTACAGTGATGCCTGCCCATAAATTAGAGCACCGGAGAGCCTGGAAGCGGGCTGTGCTAGCGAGCCTGTCCCAGAACAAACAAGCAAACAAACAGAAAAATGTTCAAGGGCTCAAAGCCTTCAACCACGACTGCTGTATATTAATAATAAAGAAAAACAGAATCAAATCTTTGAGACTAGCTCTCTGAATATAATCATGAAAAAAGTGGAGCTGGAGGATCCCAGTGCTCAGGAGGCAAATGAGTGAGGCCAGGTCAGCCTGGGAACAGAGGGAGACCCCGTGCAGAAGAGGGGTGGGGGAGTCTGCGCTGGATGTGGCAATCTGCAACTTGGAAAGCTAACCCCAGCGCTTGGGAGTCTACAGCAGGAGGATCCTGAGTTTGAGGCTAGCCTGGGCTCTATAGGAGGATTTTGTCTCATAAAGATGCACTGTGTGCACAGTGCTCCTGACATGTATGGCCCCGAGTTCTGTCCCCAACCCTACAAAACAAAGGGAAATGCTATAAGAATTCTGCATGAGAGGAGAAACGGAGTCAGACTCAAGGCTAAAGCATGGCTGGAAATAAGGAAATGGAGTCCGAGTTCCTTCTATGCTGCGGGAACACACAGTCTCTCTTTGGGATTTCTGTTCTAGGCTAGAGGAAGCAGCTGGAGCCATTGCCCGTCTACCACACACTTCCTCAGGCTGCCAAGCTGTGTCTGGCTTAGTAAAGCAACTTTCTGGAGTATTTTTTCAAGCTGAGACACAGAAGGAACATCTAAAGTACTGACAACCTGATCTCTTGGTTGCGTAGCTACAGACTGAGTGGACAACAGCTTGAATAGATGGTAACCTGCCTGTCAAATTCAAGGCCAAGGCCAGTTTGAGCTACACAGCAGGACTCGGACTAAATAAATAAATTAAATTAAAATAAATCCTGTCATGGTGGCGCACGACTTTAATCCCAGGACTCTGGAGGTAGAGGCAGACCATCTCTGTGAGTTCTAGGACAGCCTGGTCTACAGAATGAGATCCAGGACAGCCAAAGCTACATAATGAGACCCTAATAATAATATTTTAAAAAACCAAAATAGTACACTTAGGCAAAGACTTCTATATACACACAGATAGAATTCAGGTTGTTCCCCCAAATAAGCAAACTTTTAACATATTAGTTACCCTATTGGCTAAACTACTGCCTAAAAATTTGAATAATAAATATTTCAAAGAAAATATATAACTCAGTTCCCAATGATGGTCCCTTGGTTATAGTAGAGAGAAAATCTAGGAGATCAGGAAAAGGAAGCGAGAGAGAGAGAGAGAGAGAGAGAGAGAGAGAGAGAGAGAGAGAAAGAGAGAGCGTGAGCCAGCAGTCTGCCTCCTGTTTTCATGTGCCTTTCTGGTTCCAGTCTTCCTTCTGAGCCTAGAAGGCTTGACTCCATGTGATAACCGTAGCAGCCATCCACAGGGAAGGGTGCTCTGGCCTAGAGGGCCGAGGGCTGGAGATGTCGCTGTGAGCAAGCCTGGTCTGACTGGGGTCTTCTCCGGCCACAGAGGGTGATCTTGGCGGCAGCTGAGGGACGCAGAAGCAGTGCTCCTTTCCCTTGAGCTGAGGAGCACATGACCAGGGGGACTCCTTCTGTCCTTCCCAAGCATGTCACGTGGCTCTTCATTAGGAGTCTGTTTCCTCCACAGAGATCGAGACAGTGAAACTGGCCCGCTCTGTCTTCAGCAAACTACACGAGATGTGCTGCAGCTGGGTGAAGGACTTCCCTCTGCGCAGGCGGCCTCAGATTTATTATGAAACGTCAATCCATGCCATCAAAAACATGCGAAGGAAAATGGAGGACAAACACGTCTGCATCCCTGACTTTAACATGCTCTTCAACTTAGAGGTAAAGGGCATTCGGAGTGGGTGGGACATGGTCCTCCAGAAAAGGACTGCTGTCCTGTCACTCATAGGCTGGAGGAAGGCTGACCGCATTAGAAAACAGAACTGTTGTGTTATTTTGAATAAGTTCAAATCATTCTAAATTGGGAACATTGTTATTTTTAATAGGTTCACATGGTTCAAAATTGGGAGAGTAAAAATCTCTTCTGGACAGCCAGTTCCTATCCAGGAAAGCAAGGGAAGTTACCAGTTTCTTTGGAAGCTTCTAGGGCTATTTTATTACCAACCAAAGAAAACCATTATATCGAAATAAGGCTTTTTGAAAAGGAGAATATTTCTGTAGTGAAGTCAAGTGACTTAGTGAATTCTTAGAATACCATGTTGTTGAAGCAACAAAAAACACAACATAAAAGAATAAATTTAAGGCTGAGACACTTGATTTCATGTGATTTTCTTTTTAAAATCTGGGTCTCTGAGATAGGAAGTAGTTGGAATTGCATTCCGCAAATCTCTGTGACTGACAGATGAGATCCATATGAGCCTTGTCAGCTTAATAACCAGTTTCTCGCTATCTTCTCCTTCTCTATTAAATGCATTATGCTAATGCAAACAAAGGTGGGACTGTTAGCTCTGCCCGTCACTCACCTTTTCTTTCCTCTTTTAAGTCCATAACTTGAAAACTGCAGTGTAGTAATTTATACCCAGCATACTATTTCCTTCACTTAGCAGCAAACTTTAAACTTCAGCTAGAGCAGTGGCGACAGACTGGCAGTTGGGGCTGAGACAGACAGCAGCCGCTCTCCTTGTCCCAGTGCTGTGACGGGACAAATGTAACTCAAGGGCCACCGCCTAAATAGTCCCCATAAAACTACAGCTACTTGAAGGGTATGCAGGACGGTGACCTGGTTGGTTTTCCTTTTGTCTCCAAATGTGAAAACTAGTCAGAAGCCTAAGAAAGACTCACCCTGATGCACTAAAGCAGGTACCGAAGGCTATTAAGCTATGTTTGTTTAGAACTTTGCAAATTCTCATACCTTTTCATCTGATAACTTCATTTCATTTAAAATTCATCACAACAGAAATACAGCAAAGTCATAAATATGGGTTTGAAACAAGTGTTTCAGCATTACTAAAACCATCAGAAATGATCTAAAAATCATTAAAGGAAATGTGTCTCAAAATCTATTCAAGATAATGTCTGAGTAATACTTTGTGACATGCAGAAAGGCTAATGACATAAAGCGGGACATTTCATTTCATATATAGTATGGACCTTACGTTAGAAATACAGAGCCAGGTGTGGTGGTATACACCTGTAGTCCGGTACTTTAGAGGCTAAGACAGGAGAATGGCTACAAGGCAAGACCCTGTGTCAGAAACCAAAGCATGCACACACACACACACACACACACACAAAATGTCTGTTGCTGGGCGGTGGTAGCACAAGCCTTTAATCCCAGCAAGCGGGAGACAGAGCCAGGCAGATCTCTGTGAGTTTGAGGCCAGCCTGGGCTACAGAGCGAGATCCAGGAAAAGCACCAAAGCTACAAAGAGAAACCCTGTCCTGGAAAAAAAAAATTGTCTCACATACCCAGAGCCCTAATTAACACTATTGCCAAAACAAAACCAAGCCACAAATATACAGAGGGTTATCTATGATAGTGGGGTTACAGTGGTATTTATTTTCTTCTTTATTTTTATTATTTTAATAAATTATCGTTATTACATTTTTTTCCTTTAAGAATCTACATTGTTTTAAAAGAAAGTCTGTGCAGGGCTGGCAGTCAAACCTAGAACATCATACATGCGGAGAGTCCATAACTAACATGACCTGGACTTCATACTTACTTTTCCAAAGACTCCACCTGGCTGCTGTTTTCCCTGATGTTATACTGAGTTGTTTGAAACCGTGTATTACTTTAGTCCACATATAAATTCTAAGTGTCAGGATTATTTCTAGACAATTCTGTTTAGTCAACCTTCAATGGCACTATAGATTGTTTTGCTTGAAATGCAAGACATATTAGAAGTAGTGCCTGTAATAGATATGGACTTCACCATTTCTGAGAGTTACCGTTATTCTCAGGACGTCTATATGCAGTGCTTTTGTTAGAGACAGTTTCAAAGCACGGAGATACCTGTGTTCTATCTCTGTCTGACAAGGGTGTGAAGGCAGGACAGGAGAATGAGGCATCCCCTCAGCACATCTGAATCCAACCTGGGCTACATGGCACTGTTGCAAAAAATAAAAAATTAAAAGAAAAAAAAAACCCAAAAACCTAAAGCAAGCAAGCAAAAACATCCCCCAAAGAAAAGATTTGTTCAGGAGTTGATGACAAAACCCAGACTCCCAAGAAAAGAGAATGTGAAGACTCACAACTGAAGTCATCAGTTACTGCTGCCTAAAGGGAGCTGAGTAACCATTGACACTTGAGTGACTCACAGATCAGCAACAGATCTGAGATTCAAACATTGAGCTGAAAATGGGAGAGCCAACCATGTGGCACTGGAGAAGGAAGTCAAGACACAGCAGAAGGCCGGGGCCGACGCTGGCAGCTGCCCTTCAGGAGATGGGACACTGAAGCTTCGAATGAGCTGAAGCCAAGTCTCCAGCCACACGGGGCACTTGGTTGGTTAACGAGTTTGGAGACTCCGCTGTTTATGGAAGGAACTCAGGGTGGCCAGGACCAGTGTGGAAAGAGGCATAACTTGTGTGTTTTTATCTCCATGTTTTGGAAAGCCAGTTATTTTCTATTATTCTCTGGTATTTTGAAAAAGTACTCAATCCAGAACAGTCTTTGCTCACTTCTTCCTCATACCTTCTTTCCTCTTCCTCCTCACAACCTCTAACTATGATTTTGAAGCAAATGCATGTGGGTGGTTTCCATGGTACAAGACAAGTTTCACAGAGCGCGTGCTCCAGCCTGCACTAATTGGGCATGATGTGTTCCAGGGCTGTGTGTGTAAACACAGATGCCCTAGCATCCCAGGTACTCAGCAGCTCATCGGCGTGTCAGCAAAGGGAAACATTAGTCTCATTATCTGAATGACGAACGCAGTAGAGGATGGACGTTTCCAGGGCGTCGTCTGGTTGGGTGGTACTGTGCCCCATGCCCTAACGGTTTTGTGTCTCTATTGACAGGACCAGGAGGAACAAGCTTACTTTGCAGTGTTTGATGGCCACGGGGGAGTGGATGCTGCCATTTATGCCTCCGTTCACCTACATGTTAACTTAGTGCGCCAGGAGATGTTCCCCCATGATCCTGCTGAGGCTCTGTGCCGGGCCTTCCGTGTCACGGATGAGCGGTTTGTGCAGAAGGCAGCCAGGGAGGTATGCCCACGTCCTTGTGAACACCAGCTGAGTTCCAGCCAGTCTCTGTGGGGGAAGGGCTAGTCTGGCCTTTTCTCCTTCTGGGTACACATTATCTAAACTATACACGCAAGCATGCACATGCACGCAAACACACAAACACTCACTTCAGCTACTTTCTTGGACTCTGCTTGATTCTTAATCCAGTTCCCTCCTGAGGAATAATTTTGTGGGGCACAATGATTCCCTGTAAAGAAAACCCAGACTGTGGTTTTCTGGCCCCTGTGTATAACTGCTGCTGGATTTGGCAGGTGAGTTTTTGCTTCCTTCCCCTACTACCTGTCAGCTTTGAACTTGGCCCCTCTAAGCACTCTTGCAGACAGTATCTAGTGACGGTGAACTGAAAACAACATTGAAACAGAAAGTGGGACTGCTCCCATGCATTGCTTTTGCAGGGGTAGGCAGTGGTCACTGTGTGTCTCCAGGGAACATCTATCTGGAGAAGGAGACTCCTTAGACGACCCTTGAACTGACTCTTTCTTAATGGGAAGACAAGACAGAACTCACGTCCTATATTGCTCAGGCTCGTCAGACCTAAGCATTTTACTCTGAATGAAACTGAGTTCTGTATTAAAGTCTAAAAGTAAAACAAACAAAACCATATGTATATCATACTGGGCAATGGAACCTAATTACCTATATCACTCTATGTTGGATTTTGAGAAAAAGGTACATTTCTTACTTTTCAAAACTAATACGTATTAAAATATACACAAGAAGTTAACACTGCTGCCACATGACTCCAACGTGGACTTCTAAAATGAAAAGATCAGAACAGTGTTTGATCCATTTCCCTGCTCCTACAATTATGCTGCAAAGCGGTAGTGAGGTTTGGGATTAATGAAAGAATAATCCAGAACTACATGGTAAAAAAGAGAGAGAGACGTCTCTACCTTGAGCCCTAGCTTGGATTAACACACAGATGACCTGGTAACAACTAGGATCCACAGGCAGAGGTGGGGTGGCACAAGAAAACCCAAGCTGACCTCCGCCCTGGGGGGCTGACCTCAGCCCACTCTGCTGGCCCTGCCTGTCTGGAGGCTGCTGGCTCTCAGCTTGGGGACAAGGTGAGCCTTGGGGGCAGGGTAATCTGTATTCAGCCAGTGTGAGACACGGATCATTTCATCTTTTTTCTTCAATCTTCCCTGCCCTTCTCTTTCCTGACCGCGTTCCCTCCCTTGCTGGCCATGGTGCTGTGTCTCAGTCCTGCCAGTAGTTGTCCCATGACTCAGGGTCCTCTCAGGGTTGCCTTCTCCTCCTTGTGCTTGTCCTGCTGTTTACCGCTGGGAAAAGCAGCTTTTCCTGTGGAGAAGCAGCCCTGCCTCCTGCTCTCTCCAGGGCATATGCACTCAAGTGTCTTTATCCTGTGTTCCAGAGGGCTGAGCTTTTGAACATTCTGTGTGGGAAGACATTTTATTGGTGGGTGAGGATTTATAACAAACTTTTCCTATATAGGGAAAAAGAGAAGTTGTTTCTCTCATTGGATACAAGGAGCCCTTCACCACCCTGACGCACTCGTTCTAATTTGGGCCAGGTCCTTAGTAACAGAGTCATGCTCATTTGGTGGTGACTCATGTCAAATGGAGATGTCATTTTAGTATAGCAGGATCAAGAGCTCTAAGTACTGTGGTAGCTACTGCAGTGAAACCCCAGGCTGTTAGTTCTCCATGCACTGTTTCCAATCAAAGCTCCCTAAAAATACCTCGGGAAGATTGTTCTGGTTTTTGTTTTTAAAGGTATATAAGCATCTTCTTCAGTGAGTATATGCTGTCTTGGCTCCATAATATCCAGAGACTGGGAACATTTCTTCTGTACCAAGCAAATACTTTGTGTACACACACACACACACACACACACACACACACACACACACACACACACACACTCACACACACACACACAAATAAATTTTTAAAAATGAGACAGACTAGACTGGAATCATCTAAGAAAAAGGCAGCCTGGGAGTGGTGGCGCACGCCTTTAATCCCAGCACTTGGGAGGCAGAGTCAGGCGGATCTCTGTGAGTTCAAGGCCAGCCTGGGCTACAGAGTGAGATCCAGGATAGCCAGAGCTGTTACACAGAGAAACCCTGTCTCGGGAAAAAGGCGGCCAGGTGTGGCAGCATTCGCCTTTAGTCCCAGCACTTAGGAGGCAGAGGTAAAAGGATCTCTGTCGTGAGTTCTAGGCTAGCCAGGGTGATAGTCAGACCCTGTCTTAAAAAATAAAAAAAGAAAGGGGGTAGTGGTGGAATGGACTTAGGAAGTGAACTAGGAAGAACAAAGATTTCAAGTGCCCTTGGACAAGTTACAAAATATGCCATGTTTTTAAACTCCCACTCATATAGTGTGTGTGTGTGTGTGTGTGTGTGTGTGTGTGTGTGTGTGTGTGTGTGTTTGTGTCTGGGGCGTACATGTATGCCACAGTATGCATGTGGAGGAAAGGACAACTTCAGGAAGCTGTTCTTTATGTCCACCATAGTGTGTGTCAGAGGTTGACCTACGGCCATCAGGTTTGGCAGAAAGTGTCTTTACCTTCTGAGCCTTCTCACCTGATCCAGTTCCTAAAATTCATTAGTTAATTAATTTATATTTTATGAGTATGGGGTTTTTTTTTTTGTCTGTCTGTATGTCTGTGCATCACATGCATGCAATGCCCATGAAGGCCTTAGACTGCTCGGGACTGAATTACACATGGTTGTGGTCACTGCCATGTGCTGTGTGAATAGAACCCGAGTCCTCTGGAAGAGCAGCCAGTGCTCTTTTTTTTTTTTTTTCCAGAGCTGAGAACCGAACCCAGGGCCTTGCGCTTGCCCTACCACTGAGCTAAATCCCCAACCCCCAGTGCTCTTAATCACTGAGCCATCTCTCCCCAGTCCCCAAGCCCAGTTTTTAAAAACAACTTGTACTTAAAACAAAACAGATAATCATTCCTGTCCAGTGTATCACCACAGATCAAGTGGACTTGTGTGTATAAATGCACATAGAATTCTCTGAACCAGGCATGGTGATGAACATGTTTCATCTCAGCAGAGGTAAGTAGACCTGTGTAATTTCAAGGCCAGCCTGGTCTATATAGCAAGTTCAGGCTGCCAGGGCTACACAGTGAGACCTTATTTCTAAAATAAAATAAAATACTCTGAGAACCATGAATTTGTAATGTGAAATATCACTAACAGTCTCTCAAATGCAGCTTGTATTAATCATAAACTGCTTCTCAATGAGAATTTGTTGTCTTTTACTCTCTCTGACTCTGGTCTTCAATTACTTTCAGAGCTTGCGATGCGGGACCACAGGAGTAGTCACTTTTATCAGAGGCAACATGCTCCACGTGGCCTGGGTGGGCGATTCCCAGGTTATGCTTGTAAGAAAGGGCCAAGCTGTTGAACTAATGAAACCACACAAACCAGACAGAGAGGTATGTATGATCTGTTCTAATAGAGCATGTCAGAACGGCAGTTTTGTGGTTACTAATTAGGATTCTTTGAGTGTTGTTACTATTATTGGCTTTAATCTCAGCAACTGTGCCCTTCTCCTAAAGGAGAAATACAGAAAGCCTTTTCACAGAGATGGCAGTATATCTGTTTACTGTAAAGTGGATGAATAAATCCTGAATCCAAGTGTTTGCTTTTTATCGTACTGCTCTAGGATGAAAAGCAGCGAATTGAGGCCCTTGGAGGTTGTGTAGTTTGGTTTGGTGCCTGGAGGGTGAATGGAAGTCTATCAGTCTCCAGAGCTATAGGTAGGAAAAAAACATTCATTTTGTTTCTCCAAAATCCTCTAGCTCTCTGTCTTATATTAACTTTGATATGAAGGAACTTGAGATGCTAATTTATATGCTCAGAATGCTTATCACTGTTTAAAGTAACAACTGGATACCTTTTTAATTATTTAAGTACACCTGGCTATTTATACATTTAAATTCGTTATAAAGTAAGAATCATCTCATGGAATATAGCGTTTATCAGTTTCTATTCTTTGAATAGATGCCTCCAAGTTAGTGTACAAATCTGCTTGAAACAAATGATTTCATTCCACGTTTCCAGAAAACAGAAGGGTCTCTCCAAACTTCATACTGTTTCCATCTTTACCTCTTCTTTGGTGAATTATAAAATGACATGCACAGAATTCTTAGAAACACACTTTTTATACAAAACTATTTTCTAAATATGGGACATATAATTTTTTTGAGAAAGGGTCTCTCTATGTAGGCCAGGCTGGACTCTGCCTTAAGTGCTGGTATTAAAGGTGTGTACCACCACACCTGGCCCAGAAAATATAATGTCAGATAATCTTCTGTTCAAGTTCATATTTTCTTCTCCTCTCTCTCCTCATCCATGCTAGGGAGAAAATCTAGGGCCTCATCCATGCTAGGTGAGGGCTCTGCCCACCCAGGTCCACTCCCAGGCCTTTACAAGCATTCCAGAACTGCTCTCCCTAAAACGTAGACTGTTTAAAAGGGCAAAGCTGCTTATTCCAGAGATGGCTGAGGAAAATTAGGTGTACCTTCAAGGAGCTGGCTGTGCCTGCTTTTGTCCTGCTGTGTGCTGCAGGCTGCATGGCTTAGCCTCACTTCCCAGCTGTTTTTTCCTTCAGCACACAGACTCACATGTAAGCCTTCTGAGTCCGTTCAGTGCTGCTCATGTGTCTGTGCTTAGGGCTGACTGCTTGGGATCACCAGCTTTTGAAAAATAAGCATGTATTTCATGGGTAGATAAGCAGATATGCATGCATACATAAATAACCCTTCAATCTTTACCTCCCCAAAAGAAGTAAATGGACATAGAGCTAGAATAGACAAAGTCCATATCGAGACACCAAATTTAGTTTCTTGTTACCAGAGATCTGGTTTAGTTTGATCCGTGAGTTGAACTCTTCCCACTCTTTGAAAAGGTGCTGCTGGCTAGCTGTGAAGTGCCCCAGATATGAGCATCAGGAGCTGAATGAGACGTCCAGAGCTAAAAGAGTACAGATAGCTCATGAAGAACAGTTACCTCACAATGAGGGAGCTATTAGGTGCTCTGGAATAGGGTGCCAAAAGGGGGAATTCTCGATCTTTAAATACACTCTTATATACAATTATTTTTGACAACTAGAGCTGGTCAAGACCTCTTCATCTTCCTTCAGACAGTGTTTGTCAGGAGACTGACATGGATCTCTACAGAGACATCTTAAGTTGATGCTGGCCTTGATTCTAAAAAGAGAATACAAGGTGAAAGTGAAGCAAAATGTCTGAGTAAATGACAACCTAAGATGGAATAGGGTCAACATCCCAGATAATGTGACTTTTCAGTTGGCGAGGGTGATACACTACGTTTAGGGAGGAAACCCCAGGAATGGAAAATATTTTTAGGAACAACAATGGGTACAAGAGGCAAGAGCAGACGGTGGAGTGGTCAATTAGGAGTGTCCCTGCAGGCCTGTGATGGGCTTCAGATCTGACCCAAAGAGTCTAGATTTACTAGATGAATAAACAGAGGCCACACAGCCAGGGTTGTCTTTTCAAGCACTTGTAGTGACAGCATAGAATACAGACGGGTGTAGAAGAGCTTAGATGGAGATCATGTAGAAGGCTGTGGGTACAGTGCTGGAGACGAGGACATCTAAAAAGGGAGACACGGAGGAGGGTATAAATCGGTGAGACAGATGATCGTTTGTGAGGAAGAGGAAAACTAACTTCCAGGTTTCTGACTTGTGAGTAGGAAGACGATAGAGCATTTGTAATAAAGAAACAGCAGTTGGCAGGGGGTGAGTTCAATTGGACATATTTTCAATCCTCGGTACTGATGTCTTGGAAGAGATTTTGTATGTACGTAGAAATACAGATCTGGAGTTGAGCTGAAAGTTGAGCTGGAGACAAGGGTTTATAACTCCTTCCATCTTGGCAACAGCCTTTATCTCTCATGCACACCCACAATGTTGAAACTACAGGCATGAATCACACTGCCCAGAGAGCACTTACTGTGTGACGATGCCGAGATGAGGCCTGTGACCTAGGGTAACACAGTGCTCTCTGCCATTCTACAGGCTACTTATCTTGGAAAGTGAACTGTCTCAGTACTGGTTTGCTCCTTTGTAAAGTAAGAGTACCAGCACCCAGTTCCTGATTCATGTGTGAGGTAGTGGAATATGTACCACATTCAGAACTGAGCCCAGCACATTCTTAGCCATGATGGCTGCACTATTAAATCAAGGAACAAACCAGGAAAAGATGAAGGACAGACAAGTGCACTTTTTCAGATGCCAGGAAAAGAGGGCTTCTGGGCCTGAGCAGTCAAGGGCTGCAGAGGTCCTGAGAAATGGGTTTTAAAAAGAAATGAATTTCGGGGCTAGAGAGATGGCTCAGCAGTAAAGGCACTTGTTGCTCTTGCATAGGTTTGATTTCCAGCACCCACGTGATAGCTCACGACTGTCTGTTAATTCCAGTTCCTTCTTCTAACACATTCAGGCGCCAGGTACACATCTGTACACATAAATAAGTTTTTAAAAAGAAATGGAATCTCAAATAAGAAATAGCTGGTAGTATCTGAGAGAAATGTTTTAAGTGGGTAAGTGTAAGAATATACTAATTAAGACATGGGAAGACAGACGTGGTGGCATTTGCCTGTAATCCCTGCACTTGGGAGGCAGATAGGATCTGGAGTCAGTGTCAGCTAATCTAGGCCTCATATTACGGTGTGAAAAAGACAAAGGAGGACTGAATATATTTGCAGGAAGAGAGTAAGTAGAGAATTGAAAATGAGACCTTTGCCTGAGCTCCAGAGAGACGGGACCAAAAATAACTGACTATGGTAGTGCATAGAGGTCAACTCCACCTACCCCCCATGCCAAAAGTGGTGGTGGTGGTGGCTGTGGGCTTTTCCTTTGGTTTTGTTTGTAGGAAAACTGAGGAAATTCAAATCTTACAACTGTCTTTTAAGTAAGAAATTAATGAATGTGCCAAGATGACCAATAAGGAAGATTTGGGAGACTCACTGGAATGGGCTTTAAAAAGGACAGGAAAGGGGATAAACAGTTCAACTCCACTTAAAAAACAAACGACACTCAAAGCTTTGACAACGTAAATCTTTCCAATTGTTTCACCCCATGAGCCTTTCATTTCTGAGTTTCCTAGCATATGGAGAGAGGAGGCTGAAGCCAACAGGCTGCCGTCTCCACCAGGAGATGGGTATTTGTGCCCTCCTACCAAATTTGGGGGCGAAATGCCATGAATCTGACACTCAACACTGGAGCGGGTGAAAAGCCAGAGTTCTGGCACTGTTTCCTCTGTGCAAATCTTTGTATGTTCTGTTCTAAACCAACAGCTGCACTGGTCTTTTAATTGTTAGCGCTAAAACACGATTTTTTTTTTTTTTTGAAACAGTGTAACTCAGATCACATTTATTTTTAGAAGTAGAGTTCAGAAAATAATATTTGAATCAGGTAGAATAGGGGAAATTAAATAAAGTGGACCAGTGGGAACACTGCTCTTACCTTTTGAAGTTATGATTGGCTTCAGTAGTCTATTGGGATATCATAGTGATAAATGAAATCAAAACCATGCTTTTAGGATTCCAGCAGCTGGGAGGTTGAGGCAAGAGGATGAGACATTCGGGGCAGCCTTGCTACAAAGCAAGGTGGATGCCAGCCTGGGCTATATGAATGAGACCTCGGCTTTAAAAAAAAAAAAAAACCCAAAACAGTGGGCAGGATAGTGGATGAGAGTTACACGTGTGAGAACAGTGAAGCTAAGAATATGTAGGGTCAAAAGGCCTCTGTTTCTTATTTACAAATATATTAACCTAAAAAATTATATCCAGGAAATACCCATTTTCCTAATATCTAGTTATTCGACATACTGGATACAGCATATGGCCCAATTTATAGCTTATCACAGGGTTCCTATTGAACTGTTTGAGCCTATCTGACATGTCTGAAAGAAATCTGAGGTAAGAGGGCACCTGTAGCAGATACCAGAAATAATGAATTACTTAGTAAGGCCACTGTCTTAACTTCGTATCTGTTGTGATTTAACTTTTGTATCTGTTGTGATAAAAATGTCCTGACAACAGGAAACTTAAGGGACAAACATAGTTAGTTTAGCTCACAATTCCAGGTTATATATAGTTCATCACATTGTCACAATCACAGTAGTATGAACTTAAGACAGCTGGTCATATCAAGAAGAGAGGCTTCTAGTACTTAGCTAGCTTTCTCAGTCCAGGACCTAAACCCAGGGAATGGTACTGCCCACAGTGGGCTGGGTCTTGTCACTTCAGTTAACCCAATTTAAAAAAAAAAAATCCCCATAGGCATGCGCACAGACCAGCCTGATCTAGGCAATCCTTCACTGACAGTCTTCCTGAGGTAAATCCAGGTTGTGTCCAGCTCGCAACAACTAACTATCACAGCCTGCTTCTTTCTAGTGCACTAGAAGGTGTAATTAATGAGAACTGTGTAGGTAACAAGTGGGGTAGTTAGGATTTGGAGCGAGGCAGTCTGATACCATGCTGTTACTCTAAACACTAAGTTATAGGGCACTGACTACTTCACATATCGTTTGGTGGCACTTTTCCAAGTATCGAAAGAAAAATAACCGATGAAAACAATGCAGGAATCTGGTCATTTCTGTATCTTAAAGTTCCACCATCATGGTGGAAGATGGGTGATCTCAGCAGCCATGAGAGAAACCTGTAGGCTTAAGGCCTCTGGTGTGTTGGACATCACTCCCTAACACTGTCTTGTGTCTGCTCATGTTGTTAGTAAGTGTATGTGGTCAGGGTGAGCAATCAACATGGGTGGGTCATCTGTGAAGACAAGAGGACACTTACTGTGGACTTTCTGTGTGTTCTCCAGATATTAAGTAAAACAGCATCAAAGAGAAGCCAAGTGGACCAGAAACAAAGTAGTCCATACCTTAGCTCTTTTTGTGTGGGACTGTGGATAAAGCCCACAAGTTTCCCTGGCTTTAGAGTCACACATGGTTTTTAAATCTCTTGTAACTCAACCCTTTCTCCATGTTCACAACAATAACCTACTTACTGATTTCTCAAAAAAAAAAAGGTGACAGAAAATTGTTTATTGAGGAAAACAGCCAGGACTTAGGGTTTCCCCTCAATGTTCTCAAGTTGCAATTAAATCAAACCTAATCACCAGTAAGAGAACAGATCTACTGAACCAACAGTTCTCCTATGTATGACTGATATTTTTAGTACATCAAACAAATTTAGATTTGGTGTGACTTGTTGCTTTAGTCAGCAAAGCCTAAACTGTAGCCAGAGGCACAAGGTCGAATGTATACAACTGATGAGGAATTGAACCTTGCAACTTATAGTTTTTAAACTGGGATTAAAGTATAACAACATCAAAGTAACACAGAATTGAAGTGTTTCAATTACAGTTTTAAATAAAAATTTCTCATCAAGTTACAATCAATCCATAGTACTGACCACAGGCATTCTAAACATTTAGGTGAACCACAACCTGCCTTCTGATGGCCTTCCCTTCTAATTCCCACAGGAGATGCTGAACATAAGCCATATATCTGTGGAGATGCAGACTCTGCCTCAACTGTTCTGGATGGGACTGAAGACTACCTCATTCTGGCCTGTGATGGCTTCTATGATACAGTGAACCCTGATGAGGCAGTGAAGGTTGTATCTGACCACCTGAAGGAGAATAATGGAGACAGCAGCATGGTTGCCCACAAATTAGTGGCATCAGCTCGTGATGCAGGGTCAAGTGATAACATCACTGTTATTGTGGTTTTCCTGAGGGACATGAACAAAGCTGTAAATGTTAGTGAGGAATCAGATTGGACAGACAACTCTTTTCAAGGAGGGCAAGAAGATGGTGGGGATGATAAGGAGAATCATGGAGAGTGCAAACGCCCTTGGCCTCAGCACCAGTGCTCAGCACCAGCCGATCTAGGCTATGAGGGGCGTGTGGATTCATTCACTGATAGAACTAGCCTGAGCCCAGGGCCCCAAATCAACGTGCTGGAAGATCCAGACTACCTAGATCTCACACAAATAGAAGCAAGCAAACCTCACAGTACCCAATTTTTGCCACCAGTTGAGATGATTGGTCCTGGTGCACCAAAGAAAGCAGATCTTAATGAGCTAATAATGGAGGAAAAATCAGTCAAGTCTTCATTGCCTGAACGGAGTGGTGCTGGAGAGTTTCTGGCTTCTTTTAATTTGGGTTCAACAGGGCAACAGATATGCAGAATGGAGAGCTTGTCTCCTGTCTGTTCTGGGTTGGAAAATGAACAGTTCAAATCCCTGGGGAAAACAGCGTCTAGATTGTACCATTTACGCCACCACTACTCCAAAAGGCAGCGTGCATTCAGGTTTAATCCAAAGTTTTATTCATTTCTTTCTGCTCAAGAGCCTTCTCACAAAATAGGCATTAGCCTCTCCTCACTTACTCGAAGTGGGAAGAGAAACAAGATGTTAAGAAGTTCTTTGCCATGGAGGGAAAATAGCTGGGAAGGATATAGTGGAAACATGAAGATTAGAAAGTGTAACGATATTCCATGCCCAGACCTTCCTTGGAGTTATAAAATAGAAGACTTTTCTTCAATGTAGGCTAGCTAGCTCTCTCAAAAAATACAACTATAAGAGTAGAAACAAGGTAGACATTTTTAACGTACATGTGCTTCATTATGAATCCATTGATGGCTCAATCCTTAAATGTACATAGATCTCTAGGAAATTCAAAATAGTGTTTTCAATCTTAAGAAAAGTATTGGCGGTTTCACTAGCAAACTCATACAACTGGTCCCTGTGATGTGTCTCTACCTACATACAGCCCCCTCTCCACCATCCCTTCACGTCACTAGTGGAAGCTTGAAAGTTATTCCAGTCAGAATATATGGTATGGAAATCGCAAGTATCTGGTCTGATGTGCCTAATCTAAAGGAAACAGTGCAGAATTAAATTTTGGGGGGAAATGCTCCTCAAGATCCCGGGGACCATGAAGCATTCCTCCCCAGTTGTTTGGGTGAATGAAAGATTAAAGCCACACAGGTCTTAACTGCTGATCAAGGACTCAGTGACCAGTACCAAAGTGTCATATTCTCAGACTTGGGAGGCAGTATGCAGTAAGATAACTTGTTCATTTTTCATAGAAAATGAAAAGCAACTATGAATATATTTATGAAAATATTTCACAAGGTTTTAGTTATCTGAGAGTTTCATAACCTGTTATGGTGCTGTTGGTGGAATTTTGTTACTCATTTTAGGAGACCTCTGTCAGCTGGCTGTAACCTAGGATCCTGTTCTTCATAGTACCTTCATCTCAAGAATAAAAGTGGTTTAAGAGATGATGTCAGGTACGACCGAAGACTCAAATGCCATTTAAAAGGAGTTGTGAAAATAGCACTTCTATATTTTCTGCTTTTTTTTAAAGTTTACAGACAGCAAAGGCATATATAACTATAATATAAAATGTAGTTTGAATAATGAAAATGATAGTTTTAACTTCTCTAAAATTGTTTTCCCCAAGGGAATGAAGTAATTGGTATAAAGGAGGCTGAGTGTGAACCCAGAGGCCACGTGCACAGGAGAATGCAGATTACTGAGGGCCAGGGCTGTTTAGTTATAAGTGGAAGACGAGCCAGAGTCCAGCTACCCGCTTCAGACTACAGTGACAGGTCATGTGCTTCTCATTTCAATACTTATAGTTTATAGTTTTGAATCATCTACTTTTTGCCATTTCTACAGTTTCAAACCAGAAACATGTCTTCACCGAAAGACAGCAAAAACGCTCTTCGATTTGTCCAGTGAGGCAGCCTGGTTTATCTCAGTCATGAATGTTCCCATGTTCCCTACCCCATCCCCCATGAGCTAGCCAGGCCAACAGGCAGGAGCAGCCGCTGGAGCGACTGCTCGCACAGTGGAGGCGCCACTAAAGGTTCCTGCTGAGGCACGGCCACCCCAATCATATTCTGTGGAACTCCACAATTCATGTTGCTTTCTCCAGACCCACAGAGGATTAAGATCCTCAAATTCCAGAGACATAGATGACTAACATATCACAGGTATTGGCAGAGCTACATCAAACCATTAAAGACCAAAACCCAGCTTCTCTTCAGCAATGGTCAAACTATTAACCTACAGCTTTTATTTTTCAAAATGTGAGTCTAAGTGGAGGTTTCCAGTATTTGTTTTTTGTTGACCTTGGAGTCATTTATTCTTCTCTTAGTCTCGTGACCGCTGAGAAGGAATGAATATGGCTCCACCTCAACAGTATTAGGACTTCATCATCTTTCTGATGCTTGCCCCATCAATGGACCAGTCTGTCATGTCTGTCATTTTTTGAAGCCCAGATCATGCTGACAACCCATCAGGTGCAGGGCCAGTTTCAAACCAAATTTCTAAAGAAAAAAAAAAAAAAAAAAAAGCCAGGCAGCAGACAACAGGTGTACATCATATCCCAAAATAGCTAAGTACATTTAGAAGAATTTCTGTGGTTATCTATTAGTAATGTTTTTGATCAGAATAAGGAGAAAAAAAAAATGAGGTGATAGGTTTTTGATTAGTGAGGTAAAAAAATGAGTGGATGAAGCTAGGGCAAACAGACCCATTTGGATTTTGTAGGTCTGACTACACAGCAGTGTTAACTCCATTTCTCATATCATTAGCTCTCTAGAAAATAGAGAAAAGTACTCCTAGTGTGGTCAAGTTAATAAACCAATATTGTAAAAACTAACTCATTTGTTCACAATGTGCGTATTTATAAGGTAGTTAGGTACCATTTGTACGGTAAGTCCTTTAACATTCTATAATATTAAAGTAGTGGTTATTGGCCTGATACATGCTGCTGTTGGTTCTATAAACCAGACGAGAAGCAGTGCTTTGTGAAATGCAGTGTTAAACCTTAATGCCACTGGTGATAGGAAGTAGTTCCCTTCAATTCAAATCCTCTGCCCTTATTTGCTGCTTGCTAATGTAAGCAATAAGTAACCCTCTAACTAATGGTATCTATACATTTCTGTAACTTATATTTAATGATGGTGTATCTGGTGACTGTAAAAATATTAGACAGATATAAAGTATCTATATAATATATATTAACTGTAAATGCTGAGGTATAGTCTGTGAATTATGTGTTTTGTACCTCTATTTCATTGTGCAATTTAGTGGTGGTGAAAGTTCAACACTCGATCCTTAGAGTGGCAGTATCCCTTTTTCATTACCATGATCTGCATCATTTTGTTTGCTTGCTAAACCAGTTTTGTTATAGTAGGAAATAGCAAAACAAATATAGACAAGAAAGTGTAGTATCTGATAGGAAAGCAGACTTCAAGTCACCAACTGAGGTTACTATTCCTTGTACATTCACTGTGAGTCTCAAAGGGCATCAGTCCCTAATTTCAAAGGTTTCCTTTTTCACTTTTTTTAGGTATGTACATTGGAAAGATATCTGAGTTTGGCAACATTACAGCACCAAACACTGGAGCTATTAATTTTATTTATGTCTGTACAACAGAGGTCAGACAGAAAAACATGTATATACTTTTTCTTTACCTACAAGTGCCATCCATTGTCCTTGAAGTAATACAATTAGAGTCCATGTTGCATTTAATTTAAGTAGGAGGCACCTTGAAAGTAACATCTTTTCAAAGGACAATGTCAGTAACGTCAACACAAAGTCTACTCCTGACCACATTTATAGTGGTCCAGCGTCGACACTGCATTCTCATGACCACCACACTCCACTGCTAGAACACTGTGCCAGTAGGAAGTGCAACATCCAGGGGGCAGATGAACAGGATGCAGTTCAGTGTTGCAGAGAAGCGGCTTGCTTCATGTACTTCCTCCCCATCAAAGGCTTACTGAGGCTTTGTGAGAAAAGGGCCAGATGATTTTAAGTTTTCAACCATTTGCTCACTCAGTGAGCTTTTTCACCTAAGGCTACAAAAGAGGATACTACAGTTTTGTTGAATCTTTGGAAAAACTTTTCTTTGGGTCACAAATTACTAAAAGATTTTTTTACCTTTCAAAAACAGGATAAAAGACAAAACCCCCACTCTTCTGTTTTGATCTATACAAAGATGGTTGTTTCTTTAAAACAAACAATACGCCAGTATTATACAGACAAATAGTACTGATTTAAAAAAAAAAAACCAACCCACTGTTGCATCCTCCAGCAGCATTTGGTCTAGTTAAGCCTGTTTATTACATTAACTAGAAACCTGAGCAAGGGCAGGGAGTCCAGTGACCCAGCAGTCGCTCTTGAAAAGGAACTACTCTATTATCTTTGATGTATTAGATAATGCAGATACATCATTGTAATCTCTCTAGGTGCTCTGTGGTGAGAGACAAGCTTTCTCTTATTCATGACATTTCTCTGCAAAGAATTCTCTCTGGAGTGAAGTGAGTCAAGTTACGATTTACAGACCCGCTCCACAGATCACTTCTGAGTTGAGCTGTAATCATAAGTGATCTTTCATGTTTTATTTATTAAAACTGTTTATTCAGGTAAGGAGTATGTCAAAATTTTGCCAATATCTTAATAAAACTCAGCAATTAAAAAACCACTGGTTATTTGTCTTATTCATAAAGTATTAAGTTACTTGGTGCTTAAACTAGGCAGATTCCTCAGCCTTAAAACCCCCCACAATTTCAAAAAAAATGTATTTCTATGTCCTGGAATTCACTATGCAGACCAGATGGGCCTCAAACCTGGAGATCCACCTGCCTCTGCCTCCCGAGTGCTGGGATTAAGGGTGCACACCAATACTGGAGATGGATGTTTTCTTTCCCCTTATAAACATGGAAAGCTGCAAGTCTGTTGAGTGACGCTATTTAACTATTAACTATAACCATCCACCCAACCAACAAAAACCAGGGGAGAGGGCTTTCTTCTGGTGCTCCCTACTGGTTTAACTGGGATAACCAAAGGGGGCCTGTATAAGAGACAGTAGGGGAGGTGAACCCACCCTGAGCTAAGCAATGACTCCTCAAATCTTCCAGTGACATTATTCTTACATCTTTGCACCCAAATGCCCGAGCTTTCTCTTCCTGCCATTGAATTTCAGTCTTGAAAGAACGAACCAGTGAGTGGTGGCCCTGTCTTTCTGGTGGGTTTGATGAGGAATAACTACAGGAGAGTGTACAGAAAGAAGTGAAGCCAGCTCTGCAGGCCACGGCATCTAAAGCAAAGCCATGATTGACAACCTGTGTGTCTCCACCCCCCAGATCCCCCGGGAAACACAGATAGTTACATTATGATTTATAACAGTAGCAAAAGGAGTCATGAAGTAGCAATGGAGAGTAGCAATTTTACGGTTGGGCATCACTACAACATGAAGAATTGTGTGAAAGGGTCACAGAAGTAGGAAGGTTGAGGACCACGGAAAGGGATGGACCCAGTTTAAACACCGTGACTCCTTTACCAGTGAGACTTATTTCACAGTCACAACAATCCTAACTTCTCTGTCATTTAGGCTTTAGCATACCTTTATAAAGAAAAAAACAGTTCTGAAAGGAAGATTTACTTGAAGGAGCTTGCTTTGCAGGGATGAAAAATAACATTTTGATTAATAGTTATTTATGTTTGAAAATTTCTAAAATTTGATAATTAAGACAAACATCTCTTTTTGAAGTAACAGCATGCCATATAATTATTCTAAGTGAATCACTAGTATAACAATTATTTGAATTAAGACTTTACTAATGTTACCAAATTATCAGAAATGACTGGGGTTAGGGTCTCTCAAAGGTAAACCATTTGCCAACATGTGTGGCCTTGGCTAGGTCCAAGCACAGGAAAGAAAGACGCTGAGTTGACTCTAAGGTGCCACCTGCCCCTCCCCCACCATTAGCTTTGGACCTGCACCGGGTGCCCGTTACTGGAAGAACAACTAATAAAGGACACTTCTCTGTGCTCTAGGAGCCTGCTTTTGTTTGGCCTCAGAATAAACTTATCAAAGAACTTTTACTTGTATTTCAAATAAATCAGTTTCTTTTCGGACTCTTCAAAATGTTCAAATATTGTTTAGTAACAAAGGGTTCCTCCTTGAGCAGCTGGGTTTAGTATTCTTCTTAGCTTAGCTGTAGGATGACACCCCACCACAGACTCTCCAGGAAAAGGTGTCTTGACCTCATGGTGCAAAAACCAGGTCCCACACAGGTTCTATCCAGTTTTTTGTTTGTTTGGTTGTTGTTATTTTTTCTTTTTGGTCCCTTTTTGGAAAATGGAGAAAGTGTGCTGTCAAGAATGATCTAAGTTTGGAGAAATCTTTTTTCCAGGTGAGAAGTCAGCTTAACTGGATATGAAAAGGCCCTGCCTTCACAGTGCGGGTATCATAGCTACCACACAGGGGCAGGAGAGCCCATAAAGTTGCTAGGGACTCCCCAGTGGAGGGAGACTCAACGAGGCAAGTCTACACTGCAGTCTCCTAGAGGCACACGAGGAGGAGACACCAGCTGCCTATAGTACTTGGGCTGTAGTTTTGGTTGGGCAGAGAAGCACCAGGGGCTCAGCCTGCTCATGTGTCAGCCAGAGGAAACGTTTTCACGGAGCGCTGCAATGGATAAACGGCCCCCACTACTGAGTGGCTAACGTCACTTCCCGTCTGCTCTTCAGCTTCTTCAAGAAGCGTTTGTCTTTGTTTTCTTGTTGTAAACTCCTGTACATATTGATCAGAAGTTGATCTGCTTTTTACAGTTCAGCATATACTTATACATGACTCAGCACAATGAATTGTGACACCAACTTCCTGAATTTAGGCCAAACTCACAGGTTTAGGGCACAGTCTTCTACAAGATGAACCTGCTTCAAAGACCAGCTTCAAGTTCAGGATCCCCAGGCCACCCTTACACTTGACCAGGTGGCTCCAAGTTTGGGGGTTTCCACCATTAAGCTGAGGTTTGGTAACTCACTAGAACACTGCACAGAACTCGGGAGGGCACTGTGATCATGGTTTCACTCTGAAGAAAGCATGCAATTTCGAACCAGCGAAGGAAGACACATTGGGGAGGTTCTGAGGGTCCTAAATGTGATGCTTCTTGTAGCAGCAGGTGACCTTCCTGGCACAATGATGTACATAGTGCTGCAAACCTGGCACACTCCTTCAGGCTTCTACAGCCCCCAGTGTGTGTGTGTGTGTGTGTGTGTGTGTGTGTGTGTGTGTGTGTGTGTGTGTGTAATGCCATCAGCTACCTAGTCTCTAGAACCTTATCAACATACCACACCATTGGCTTTCTAGTGTTGTCAACCCCATCCTCAGGCATCTTGTTAGAATAAACTACCAGCTTCCAACCACAAATGATTCCCGTCACGTAGGAGAGTCCAAGGATTTAGAGGCTATTTCCCAGAACATGGGTCAGAACAGCCGTCTATATTATGACATATCTGACAGTCCTACTCATTGGCATAAAAGCTCCTTAAGAATGAAGACTGCTCCCATAAAAGTCTGATCAGAAACATGCTAGACTGGAAATGACCTACATTCTTGAAGTAGGTAGATGAATTCCAGTGAACAGCTAGGGGAATGTTACTTGGCAAAACAAACAGAAAACTAAGAACTGAGTCACACAAGATGGATAAACGTAATTGTGCTTTACTTACTACGTGACTGTACATTGTGAGTCTATTTATGACACTATGGAAAAGGGAAAATTAAAAGGACAAAGAACAGTGGTAGTCAGAAGTCTGGGGGAAGTGTTACTTACGAAGGGCCACCACAGGGAAATCTTGGGGCTGAAGACTGTCATGATTAACTACAATGAATCAAAGAACAATACAGAGTGCAGAAAGAAAGGTGCTAAGGTAGTCTTGAAGTCGAGAACTTTAAATAACTGAAAAAGTATTTTGACATGATACACCAGCTGGGTGTCAGGGCATGCATCCAGCTACCTAGAAGGCTGAGGAAGGAGGATCCCTTGAGCCAGCCTGGGCAGTATGCAAAACCCATTTCAAAAACACACAAGTGATATTCAAGGTGGTTTATTTTCCTCGTAAAGATATAGGTCAGATATATCATTAGTAAATAATAAATAGAAAAACAAAGAAAGAAAGGAGGGAGGGAAGGAAGGAAGGAAGGAAGGAAGGAAGAAAAGAAGGAAGAAAAGGAAGGAAGGAAAGAAGGAAGAAAAGAAGGAAAGAAGAAAGAGAAAGAAAAGGAGGGAGGGAGAGAGAGGGAAGGAGGGAGGAAGGAAGGAAGGAAGGAAGGAAGGAAGGAAGGAAGGAAGGAAGGAAG